CGCTGTGCTGCAGCCCATTATTCTGGCTCTCATTGCTGTGGTCGCTATCGTATGGCTGTGTTTCCCTCGCATTAAGAAGAGAGATTAGGCGTTTACACTGGGCATGGCTCTGTAGAGTGGCACAATAGACTAGAAGATCATTGGATGTCAATAACGGAGTAGGATAATCAGCCCAAATACATTTCCAAGACGTCTCTCGAAGTACTGCGAGGTTAGAGAAGCACCGGAATTCATGCAAGAAGGCCGGGTTGTAGGGAGAAAATCTTGTTCAGTCTACGTGGTAGACGGCAGATTTATATACAATGCCTCCAAATATCCAGCTCTGGCAAAACATTTCGACCCCATATGTACACATTAGGGGTGTATATCAACGGGTCATCGCCGCCACTCATATATACTGAGTCAAGTATGTACAAAGAAAGATGCGTTCATCCCACCACGTTCAATCCACCTATCACAGAGCCGCTTACAGCTTCTGGCCAGCGGTGCCGGGGATGGTGCCGGCGACCTTGCTGGAGCCGAGCGCCGCGATCTTGTAGGGCAGCGAGGAGGAGGTGAGGGTGCCCTTGGGGGCAGAGTTCTCAGAACCGCCGAGGTCAACATCCTCAGCGACGGCGTAACCGGTCTGCTTGGAGTCGGCGAAGAAGATGGCCTTGGCGGGGCACTTGTTGAAGGCGGAGCTCTGGACAAGGACCTGGGCACCCATGCGCGTGTTGACACCGGTGAGGATCAAGCTGTCGTAGTAGTTATTAACGACGTGGACGGTACCGAAGCGGACGAGGGGAGCGCGGGAGTTGACGTTAAACCAGTGGTTGTTGGCGTAGGTGACGTGGAGCTTGCCGGTGTCCTCGCCGCTGTTGGAGTCAGAGTGACCGACCAGAGATCCCTTCCACTGTGTCGTTGTTAGCATATTGCTAAGATAAGACGATGTATCATGATAAACGTACGTGGTCGTGGAAGTAGACGTTGGAGACAGTGATCCAGTCTGCACCGTGGGAGACGTCGAGGAGACCGTCGAGATCGTCCTTGCCTCCGGAGAGATCACCGGAAAGGTCGCAGTGGTCAACCCAGACGTTGGTAGACTCATCAATGCCGATGGCATCACCATTGGTGGCCTTGACACCACCGATCTTCATGTTGCGGACGATGACGTTCTTGACCTGGCGGATGTACAGGCCGACACCAGTGAGGGCTGAAACAGTCAGTTAATCTCAACCAATCTACTTGCTGGATTATATTGTGCCACTTACAGCTGCCCTTCTCTCCAATGATGGTCTTGTCAGCGGAGACGCGGACCTTAGCGCTGCCGGAGATGGCACCGGAGACGATGATGGTCAGGGGGCCCTCCTTCTTGGCAGCAGCGACAAGCTCGTCGGCGGACTTGACGGTGACGGTGTCACCACCGGCACCACCAGTGGTACCTCCATTCTCTGTGCAGTAGCCGATATTGCAAGCCTCAGCGGCCTGGCGGCGAGCAAGCTCGTTGCGAGCACTGAGGATGTTGGTAGGCGAAGCCGCAGCCAGGGCAGCCATGAGGGTAACGGCGGAGAACTTCATCTTGATGTTTGTACGGGGTCGTTTGGTTTAGGTTGAAATAAGAAAGGATGTCAAGATAGTGTGAACCGAGTGACTAGCACTGGACGTTGGTCAGAATAATGGGATGAACTGAAGGTAGAATGAAAGACTGAAGAAGGCGCGAATGAGGAGCAAGAGAAGCTATGGGCACAAACTTGGGACGATAACTGAGGTCTTATATACAAAGATCGAAGATCCGGAATCTTGGCTTCTGGTTTGGATGGGGTATTTCGTGATTCCTGGAAGCGGCAAACGAGGTCAACCCACGTTGATTTCCAGAACCACCTCGACCTATCGCATGCACTCCGCAGCTCCATCGACTCCCTTGATTATTTCCCCGTCAGCAAAGACTAGGGTAGCCTCAGAGGAGCGCCAGGATGTTGAGAATCTCGGGACGAAAAGGCCGTGGACAGAGAGCTGGCCGTGACCGCTCGCCATCAGATCTGATTGGCCTCACACAAGACCGTCACATTGAGATGAACGGCGCGAGTAAGGAGGTTCACTTTCTGGTCCCTTACGACTGGCATGTTTGCCAGAACCAGTGGGCTGGGCATGGCTTGACTTCCTAAAGAGTGTAGGAGACAAATAGAACGGGAAGGGGTCCGGCAGTAGCCAGCCTGCTGTGTGGAGTTCGGAGCTCGTTTGCGATTCGGTATATCATGAATGTAGCTGTGGTACTGGGACGTTGTCAACTGGGGTGCTGGAAAGAACAGACGAAGTGAAGACGAAGGTTACAGGGGTTGGGAATAGGCTCATCGGATGACTAGCGACTACCCACTCATCGTCGAAACCACGAACCAGCCAGCCCCCAAAATGGGCAGTACCGCTGCCCAGCACGCGATGATGTGACGCTGCGCTAGAGTTGCCAAGCGTGCATGTTTCAAGCGTTTGAAAGTGCGGTAGCGCGCGCGGCATCTCAGAGATAGATGAATGCCAAGCACTCATCCAAATGAACACGCGCTGGCTGTTGGAGGAAGAACTTGAATGAGAGTGTCGCCGAGCAGCTACAGCGGGAGCCGTCGCCTATCTGAGCAGATGTGTTGCTGATCGGATGGGGGAAGACAGGGGTATTGCGTGCTGTGGTCCTGAGGAGGGGGCAGACCCCTGTTCGTTAACACAGTGAGACGCAACACAGCTGCCAACCCTTCTCACCTAGATACAAGCCAATAGTCTTAAGAACGTGCAACGACATCTCTACGATCGTCTTCCCTGACATCCAAAGCTTGGACATCGTCAATTCGATTTTTCAAAAACCAGATAGTGAGATTGCGACCGATGGAGTGAGAAACAAAGTGAGTGAGCAAAAAGTGCGGTCTTGGCGTGTAGCACTATAAAAAGGGGGATTGACCGCCAAGACTGCGAATATTGGCATTCTGCATTGGCAAAGTCTCTTGCCAATCACCCGCAAGTTTTCTGCGCACCTGCCCCTCTCACATCTGTCTCTCACCTCTCTTCTTTCACCAGCTCGACTCCTCTTCTGCGCCTCTCTGCTTCGCCCGCCTGATGCGGCCTTTGTGATCTCCCGTCGGCCCAACCAAAACAATTACGCCAAGAGCTTTATATCGATCCAGCCTTGGCAGCTTTTTCATGGCTACGGATACAACGCAGGAGATTAGTACCTGAAACTCCTAGCAGCTCGTATTCAAACCAGAGAAAAGACCGAAACTCCACAAGAGGCGGGAATCTCTTCTATTTGAGGGAAAAGGAGAGACAAAGACCGAGCGCATGCCAGGCTTTGAAGGGAGACCGTGATAATAGTCCGGTAATGATTTCAACGCGGTAGCTCTACATGTTAGGTAGGCTCTCTCACTCGCACAACACCGGCCGCCTCTCAAGATGGGACAAGATTGAGACTGGTGAATGGCAGACTCTACAGTCAACAATTTCCTACGCCAGAGCTGCAAACTGCTGCCGCCCGATCTTGACATAATCTTACCGCGCATCCCAAGTGTTGACTTGACACTAAGTTCCAGACTTGCTGTCATTGACACTGATGCTTCCATGCGCCGATCGGCCTAACCGTTCTCCACGCCTTGCCCAAGTGAGACTGGGATCGTCACCACTTGGATTTCGCACGAATGGGATGAATCGCCAGCTTACCGAATGACCACACGGAAATGGCACCGAGCAGGAAGATGGTTGCCAGAAAATGATCGCCAGCATGTTGGCACGCCGTCCCATCAAACGAGATACCCGAGTTCGGTAGCAACCTCAAATATGCAAGCTGCGCAGTACCCCTCGTTTTCTGCTTCAGCTGATGTCAACGACTCAGCTATATACTACTGGTCGGTCGATATGAACCAATCTCTAGGAGATCGGGGTTTTAAAATACCAATTACCGCATTCTTGCGTTTCTTGAATTTTTGTATCGTCCTGGCAGTGTCCACGAATATCAGATGAGCGGATAAGTACAGGGAAGCGAAGCTTGGCTGCACAGTAAGATACGATCATTTGAGTCAGTTCGTTGATCTAGATGAGTGGTCAATATCTCGGCTTCGTATAGGTAGTTCATCAAGCAGCAATTCTTCCGCCAAAGACGAGCGGGGAGGACCTTACCATATTCGGCCCATCTCCTACCGCTATCGAGTATTTTTCCGCTGATATATCGTCCTACTGCGAATGGCTGCAGATAGAAGTCCTACTTAGAATTTGGGCATGGAATCGTATTATGCCCCCTTACTTCGAGCCGCAAAATGGCTTCTTCCCATCTCGGGAGTTTGCATGTTTGGCTGTCTTGATCTACTGAACACGCTCTAATCAAATCTGCTCTAGGGGCAGGACTAGTAAATGATGCAATGGTTCTCGCCAGTGGGCTTGTTGATTGTGAATTCTCGGCTTCATACTCGTTACAGTTCGCTGCGGCCTTGAAGCACATAAATGCCACGCGATAGAGACGGAACAGGCGTTTGAGGCAATACTGATAGAACAATAACCGCCAAACGCCAGCAGTTATCCAGTGGAGTTTAAGGGGCCTCGGCCATATCGAGCAGTGATGCTCATGCTTAGTATTAGGTATCGTGTTGAGCAGGATTAAGCTCTGCATAGAGTCAGCTGACAACCATAAAGCCGTCACCGAGGTGTGAAAGCCGACACACCGCCAGCTATGATGACGCAATTTTAGCGCCGTGGTAGGAAGCGGGGGTGCCTGGATGTTTTTCTCTGCACCCTTCCTGTTCGGGACTTCCGACCGACATCCGGCTCTGAAGCCCGGAGGCCCGGGTGCCTAAGTGGGTCATCCGCTCCGGGCTTCCTTGCCGAACGCATGGAGCCAGGCGCTCTTGTCACCGGCTTGATGGTCCAACGTGGGACTCATCAAATGACGTGCTTCCATCATGTAGTTTCTCACGATATAAACAGCAGGCCAAAGTACGGAATGAGATCGTGTCTTCATCCACCTTGATCATCAGGCGGAGCTCACGTTCAAGATGGCGAAAGTTTTGGCCACTCTTTTCGGCATCTCTTTGTGTCAGATCACAGCACTTGCGTCTGCGGCATCCCAATTCAACGGGTCGGTATATCAAGATGCATCACGGTCTCCAAAAGAGAGAGCCGACGACCTCCTCAAGTTGATGACTTGGGAGGAGAAGGTTGGCCAGTTGGGCGGCATCCGTCGGCTTGCTGAAAGGGTCAACGGTGCACTGTCTCACAACGAGACCTCTTTTGAAGAGATTCGAAAGTCACAGAATGGTCAAATTGGTAGGCTTAGTAAGTGCAATGATTTGCTTGCGAGCTAAGACGATCGCAGGTTTCGGTGCCCCTACGAATTACGCCTATGAGCTGCTACCAATCGCTAATAAGGTACGGGCCGAGCAAATCAACAACACACGTCTCGGCATTCCTTATATCACAATCGCCGATTCCGTCAATGGCTTGATGATTTCAGGCGCCACCATCTTCCCAGGGGCCATCTCCATGGGCACAACGTGGAATATTCCACTCTACGAGCAAGCTATCGCTGCGATTCGTGACGAGAACATGGCGGTAGGGACTCACTGGGTACTTTCGCCCGAGGTTGACTTGGCTAAGGACCCGAGAAATGGTCGGAATGGCGAGATGTAAGATACAAGCCCACGCTCATGTTTAACCTCATTTGACTAACCAATTCGACACAAGGTTCGGAGAAGACACATACCTCGTTGGCGAGTTTGCTTCTCACTACATCAACACCATGCAAGAGAAAGACGAAAACGGCTTTGTCAAGGTGGCCACTACGATCAAGCACTGGGTCTATGGCTCGAGCAGTGGTGGCGTCAACACAGCTAGCATGCAGGGCGGACTGAACCACATTCTCAACGACATCGGGGCCCCATACGTCAAGGCTATTAGAGAGGCCAGCCCCCTATCTCTCATGGTCTCATATGCAAGCATGGATCAGATACCCATGTCCAGGAATAAGTATCTCAACAAGGACATTTTGAGGGACTTGCTGGGCTTCAAGGGACTGATTATGTCCGATGCCGGCTCGATTAGAAACATGTACACCCAGTCGAAGGTGGCCAAGTCGTATGCCGATGCTGGCTTGAAAGCCCTTCGCGGTGGGTTGGAGCATGAGCTATCTCCGCGACCACCATCCGCCTTCCCAACACTCATCGATTCGATAAATAACACGGAGATCGCGGGGCTCGTCGACGAGGCAGTGCACGCAATTCTGCAGATCAAGTTCGCAACTGGAACTTTCGATCTTCCTCTACCCTCCATCGAAAACATGAACGCTACCCTTCGGAACGAAAGACACCTCGAAATCAACCGGAACATTTCCCGAGAAGCTATCGTTCTGCTCCAAAACGACGGCACCTTGCCCTTGACAAAAAGCAATGTTCCCCGCGTCGCACTTCTAGGGCCTTATGCGGACATCCTGAACACCGGCCAGTACGCCGCCAACAACGCATCGGATTCATCTTACGGTGACACATTTCGAACAAGCCTTGAGCGGGAGCTTGGGGCCGAAAATGTCAAGTATGTGGCTGGCGTCGACATTCTCAGCACGAATGATAGCTCTGGCATTGATGCAGCCGTCGCCACCGCGAAGGAGATCGGACTCGCCGTGGTTGTTCTCGGGTCTGGCTGGGGATCGTTCGATACATCGTATGAGTCGTTGCATCGAACCGACGGCGAAGGTTTTAGTCACCCTGATCTAGGGTTTCCGGGTCTGCAGCAAGATCTCTTGGATGCCGTCCTTGATGCGGGTGTGCCAACAGTATTGGTCCTCAGTGGTGGACAGACATTCCTGTTGAACGAGTCAACTAAGAGATCCAAGGCGATTTTTCACACCTGGCTCGCTGGAGAATACACGGCTGATGCTTTGGTTGAGATTCTCTTCGGAGATGTCAACCCCAGTGGGAAGCTGACAATTACATTTCCCGAAGCAGAGGGCGCGTTTCCAGTTGCCTATGATTACTTCCCGTCGGACGATGAAGGAGGCTTCGGTACTGCGACACAATACGACTGGCATCTCCCGGAATTAACACGCTATGCTCCCATTAGATTTGGCTTCGGACTGAGCTATACGACTTTCAACATCTCGTCGCCATCTCTGACATGCCAATCTACCAGCAACACCAGCGTTTCCGCTGTGTGTGACCAAAATAGCCAGGTGACCGTCACAGTGAATGTGACCAATACTGGCAGTTTTTTTGGTCAAGAGGTTGTTCAACTCTACTACCGTCCGGAATATACCCAGATTGAGTTTCCAGTTATGAAACTCATTCGCTTTCATAAGGTTGGAATTGAAGCAGGCGAGTCGGAAGAAGTCACACTGTCTGTCCCGTACAACGAACTCGGCTATTTCGTCGGTGGAGAGTGGGAGGTTGAGACAGGACTTTACAATTTCTGGGTGGGGAGCAGCTCAAGGATTGAGGATCTGCAAAGCCTGAACGCAACTCTGGTGTAACTCACAGGTAACGCAACGGGGCTCTTGTTTCATCAATCATACATCTCAACAAGGCTCACAGAATGAGGCCTAGTTTCGTAATTCATCACAATACGTATCCTAATATTGATTCTCTCGAAATTGCTCAGTCGCTAGAAAATACTTCTGTTATCAATAGCATTGACGTGGGATTGTTTTGAGTCACAGTTTAAAGCAAGAACAATTGAGCAAGTCCTTTGGGCGAGAAATTTGATATCTTATTGTAATATCATGTTCCTAAGTCGACGTAGATTCAGAACCATTCTGGGCCTCTCACTCCCAAATTGTTCTCGACCACAGTAGCTTCCATTGGTCTAGGGTATCAGGTTTGCATGTCTCTAGGGCGAGTTAGTGAGAAGCTCCAGAAAATCACCCTTGAAGTTTGGAAGGCTTACCGGTAGCTTTGTGACTCGAAAATCAGCTGAAGTAATTTACTTCTTGCAGCAGCCGTCGAGCTCGCACTCGACGTTGTTGTTGGGCTTGCCAGGGCAGAAGTTGAGGCGAGCGCAGGCGCCACAGTCAACGCCGCGGCGGCCGGGCTGGTGAAGCTCGGGCGGAACGTCGGTGTCGAGAGCGACAGCAGCGACGGAGGCGACGAAGAGGAGGACGGAGTAGAACTTCATTTTGAATGATTTAATAATGAGACTTTGACCGGCAAGTCGTTAATAAATGTATTACTTAAGATGTTGTAGAAGATTGAATGATTGCAACTTGATTTGAACTGATTGCGTGATTCTTCCCAGAGAATCAAGAGATATTTATCCTCTTCCTTTTTTCTCACTTACAAGTCCTCCCACCGGCAGTATCACCATGATAGTTACGCCTTCGAGTCAGTTGGCAGGGATGTTGAGACGGCATCTGACAGTTGAGGCCTCTAGGGTACCAACAGGGCGGGCACGCCGTGAGGCGCGCTGAAACGCAGAGTAGTCGCAGACAAGAGGGGCCCTACAAGGCGAAGTACGGAATAAATAAGTGTCCTGCGGGGGATGTGAAAGTTTATTTCGAGATCATGAACTGCACTCTTGGGAATAAGCGACTGCTGATATGCTGGAAAGGTCATTCTGCGCCCTAATGCGCGCGCAAGCGCGTGTCAAGTCTCTCTATTTGCGACAATAGGCCACGCCATCCAAACGGGCCGCAGCTTCCTGTTAAGCCGTAACTGACAAGCTTTGTTCTCGTGTAAGTCCTTGCACCTATTACCTATCGGATTCATCCCTCGTATTTACGGATAAGCGAGGTTGATGCAACTTTCAGGCCAACCAGACTTCTGGCCTCGCGACTAAAACAACGCCTGCTCCACTAATCTAATAGTTTCACGATGCTACCTAGGAGCTACCCGATTACTCAACCCACTTTCCGAGCTGAAGAAAGCTTGACTCCTCATGTATTAATTAAACTTTGAGCTGACAGAGGCTTGTTTTAGACGAGGTCTCACGGCGTCCGTCTTGTCATGACGGGGGATAGTCCGGTTGTTGACATTGAAGACGACTGTTCCCCGTCATCTTCGTCGGTAAAGTCGGCTTGTCTCAACAAACTGTGTATGGCGAGCCTCTGTCTGGCTTTAGCGGCTGTGGAGAGCTGTTGCTCCAAGTTCCTTCTCCCTTCTTGGAACTCTGGCGAGGAAAGCCCACCGATCCCTGTTTCCTGCGGCGCATGTCCTTGGGTCAAGCGCTCCATGTCGTTGATTATGGGCTTGACCAAAGCGGATGCCGGGAAGAATCGCTTCAGCGCAGCCAAGCACAAAGCTGCGCGACTCTGAGCAAATTCAGCAGATGGCAAATCTTGCGACCTCCCAGAGCGAGATATGAACAACACAAGCCTTGTAGCATGATATGCACATATTGCGGTATCAAACTCAAGAAGCAGATGGCTGGGGCTGTGTTGATTTAAGTTGGTCAAAATCTGAATGATAGATGTGGAGTGCTTGAGGCAATTGCGGTATGCACCCGTTATGTAGCCTTCATCGATAGCATCGAGGACCACCCGAGGCGCTGCTTCAGGGTAGCCAGAAAGCAAGATTCGGTAAAGATCGCAGTGTGCTTGGTGGAAGGAGACATGCATGAAGAGTCGTCGTCTGAGCCATCGGTCATTGAAGTGGACCTCAAGTTGAGACAGAGGGAACTCTGTACCATCAGGCATCTGAGATCCGATTTCAGCCAAGTCTCTCTCAAAGTCCCCAATGAGTTTTGCCAGGGGCATGAAAGGCTGGTCACAGAGTGCAACACCCCTCGTCAACTTCATGATGTCTCTCCGGATAATCTCAAGCCTGACATATAGCCTGTAGCAGCTGCCATCTCCTGGCTCAAACGTTGGACAGAAGTCCTCCTCGGCTGATGGGAACTGTAAGTAAATTGTTTCAATCGGGCAAGCCTCAAACTCCGGCAGCCCAACCGAAAAGTATCTTTCAGTGATCTTGAGGGACCACATGATACGACGTCGCACCTCCTGGGCAACAAGGTCTAGATCAGGCCGTTCATGATTTAACCGCATGGCGGCAGCAAATCTCGCTGCCGTAGCGGTCAGCATAAAAGCCCTTTGGAACCGTCCAGTCTCCATCTGATAATGGATGATGAGCAGAAGAGCCTGGAGACGTGCTATTGTGGGACACTCCAGATGGTGCCATATTCTCTGTTCAGCCGTTTGAACCCATGGAGTGGCTCTCTCTCGGGTTTGAAGGTCCGAAGCCGAGTGTAGCGTTGCCAGGGCGCAGATGGCATACGCCAAGGCCGGGTCAATCTTGCCAGCCCGGCACCTCTCCCTTGTCGTTTCCGGGTGAAGAAACGCATGGGATGGAAGTGAGTAAACCTTCTCGAAGAAGGACTCTACACAAGCGGGTATGTGCTGGGCGATCTCGGCACCGTGAATAGAGTCCTCCCCCTCGGTGGACGTGCTCTGCGGAGATGGCCCCCGGACGCTGCGGGCAGGGCTGGGGTATGTGCATTCTCGCCCGTGTCGTTTGCAATTTGTGCACGACGGCGATGTTCCGGAACAGCGAACCTTCTTATCTCGACAGCTCCGACATGCTCGAGTTCCTCGCAGTCGCCGTGGTTTGGTCGAAGCAAGTTGGTGCGCGCCTAACATAGTTATGTTGGCGTCCTCTTCTGCTGTTGAAAAAGAGCAAGTCAGCCCTAGGCGTGAGCAGTTTCCGCAACACTGCTCGGAACCAGCATCGCATCGGACCTGGACCGAGTTAAGCCAGAGCACTCTGGGTAAGGACGGGAGATGGACCGAGGGCCATGCTGTCGGTATCGCTTACCTTTCGCCATCTGCATTGTGAGCATGTTTGACGTGCGGTGGCTGGTCCGGCCTGGAAGCACCCAACGAACGAGTCCATCATCTTGTTGTTGAAACAGTGGCATCCCGGTTCATCGTCTTAGCTCTCGTCTCATGTTCTTATGCCTGTCGCGACTCAACCAGTCTATCGGGCCCGCGCGGTGGTCGGTGAAAGTTAGGGATGTAGGTCTGAAGAACAACTGCTCAACGTGCTATGCAGCAGATGGTTGAATCCGGTTGGTAAGGGTTCTTCTTGCGCCTTCCCACATGACGTCCCCGTCTCCCGGTGCCGAAGGATCCCTGGACAATGGCGGGGCCTTTCTTCTTCTCTGGGCATGCGGAGAACTCGCGCTTTGCCTACTCAAGTAAGGTCTACATGACGTGAGGAGTGGGTTGGGTAACGACATCCAAGACGGAGCTTCATGAGCCAATGGCAGAATGTCTACGGGAGCTGTGCCCCGGTCAATCAACACCATGTCGGCGTGAATTTCTGGGGAATTGCGCTGGTCTGAAAAACCACATCGCGGCTGTTTCTTCAGCAGTATTTCAGCATCACATTGAACTGAACAGGGACAATAAAACCAAGGACGAACATTCACCCAGCTAATAATCAAAATAGACTTTTCATGATTCATTCAGACTGCCCATGGAAACATCAGATGCGACCTGCGAGGTTGTCTCATAACTTACTCGCGAGCTCAACCGACCCACTCGTCGCACCAGGCCTTGGATGAACGGGTTCATCCCCGATCTGCACCATCTTCAACTCCAGCAGTCCCGTCATGTGCTTCACAACTTCAGCATATGCTGGGTCGTGGTACACATTGAATAGCTCCAATGGGTCCTTCTCGCAGTCAAACAACTCCCATTCCTTATCCTTTTCGCCGCCTGGCCTGGCGCCCGCCACGTCCAGGGCCTCGTTATACCAGTAAATGAGCTTGTATCGTTGGTCTCGAACACCATAGTGCGCATAGGCGTGATGAATGATGTCGTTGTGCATCCAGTATCGGTGGTATGCAATCTGCTGCCAGTCTGCCGGCGTTTTGCCGCTGAGTAGCTCCCGGAAAGAGACGCCCTGCATGTAGCTTGGCACTGGCAGATTCGCAAAGTCGAGGAATGTCGGCGCAAAGTCAACATTGCAGATGATGTCGTCGCATACTGCGCCCTTGGCAATTGCTGCGGGATAGCGGATAAGGAACGGCATCTGGAACGACTCCTCATACATAAAGCGCTTGTCAAACCACCCGTGTTCACCCAAGAAGAACCCCTGATCCGACGTATAGATCACAATCGTATTATCAGCCAGCCCGTTGTCTTCGAGGTAGTTCAGCATACGGCCAACGTTATCATCCACAGACTGAATGACGCGAAGGTAGCGCTGCATGTATCGCTGGAACTTGAAGTGCGCAAGGTCGTCGCCGTTCTTGAACGTGAACACCGTCCCATCTTCCTTGTCAATCAGCCTCTTGGCATCGGTCGGGATCTTGCGCTGCGCAGAGTTCGACTCCTGCACCACGCGCTCGCCGACCCTGTTCCCGCCGTCCGGCTGCACGAGCCCCAGGTCTTGGTACGTCAGGTCCTCGGCGACGCGCATCTTGGCGATCTTCGCCGCCTTGGCGCGGTTCTTGTAGTCGTCGTCGTAGGTCTCGGGGACGCGGATCGGGTCGGTGTAGAGGTTCTTGTGCTTGTCGTCGCACTCCCACGAACGGTGCGGTGCTTTGTGGTGGCACATGACGAAGAAGGGCTTGTCGGTGTCTTTGGTCTTGCTGATGAAGTCGAGGCACTTATCTGTGATGATGTCTGTGACGTATCCCTCCTCGATCTTTTCGCCGGACGGCTCGATGAACTCTGGGTCCCAGTAGTCACCTTGCCCTGGGAGGACGGACCAGTAGTCAAAGCCAGTGGGCTCGTTTTGTTTGCCCTCACCCAAGTGCCATTTCCCCACCATAGCTGTGTTGTAACCGCCTGTTCGGAGGTGCTTTGCAACATTGGGTAGATGCTTGTTGATGCTGTCGTTCAGGGTCATCACGCCATTGACGTGGTTGTGAGTACCCGTCAGGATAGCTGCTCGCGACGGTGTGCAGATGGAATTGGTGACGTAGCAGTGGTTGAACTTCATTCCCTCGCTCGCCAGACGGTCAATGTTGGGCGTATGGTTGATTCCAGCCCCATAGGCACTAATGGCCTTGGAAGCATGGTCATCAGCCATGATGAAGATGATGTTGGGCCTCTGTGTCGTCATCTTGAAATACAGTCAACGGAAATGAGGTCGAAAGAGAGAATTACTAGGCAGAAAGAGTTTGAGAAAAACACGTAAATATCTCAACGAACGCGTCGAACTCATATACGGCAGCTTGGGCAGATAGTGCTTCGATAAGAGCTCAAGATAGCTCCATGCTGCAACGATGCCCCTCCACAGCTGTGCATCACTGTTCCATCAGTGCCCCTCGTTGGGGTAACTAACGTGGACCAGCAAAGTCCTCAAAGCAGAAGTCCGCGCGATATCCGGCATGAACATCACCGGAACAGACAATATTTGAGAGGTCAATGGCTGCGGATGAGCGGCTCTCCTAGCTTTCGCCGTAGATGTCCCCCCGCAGCTGGCCGAGAGTCTCGGTAGTCGGTCCGGTCGCCCAAAGTGGAATGTGGAGCAACTCCGAACATTGCACCAGCCCAGATTGGGCCTTCCGACCGACATCCGGCAGGCAGGCCGGGGCAACAATGGGGCAAGTTGGTTGGTGAGCATGGCAGGCCCTGGTTTTGGGGTCAAGGGTCTCATTGCGTGCTTGAAGCACTTCAACAATCGCCCGAATGTTGCGGTTCTCGTGAATCCTGCAGTATCCAGCCATTGGGCGTCTCGGTATGGCGTGCTGGACTGTGCTGAAAAGAGTAAGGTAGTCAGGATATCGGACTTGGGTCAGTATTTCAAGCATGAAGTCCCTTAATATGGGCGACAGCCAGTGCCTCGGAATTCTTGGGTGAAGATCCATCATCAAAGCTTCCATCCTATCTGTTTCGACATGTCGAAGGCACTTGGGACTTTCCGAGCCGTCTACCTCGTAGCACTTTGCTGCGTAGGCTCCTTCCTCTTTGCATACGACACCGGTATTATTGGTGGGATCCTCACCTTCGAAGGGTTTCAAACCGACTTTCGATACGGCCCATCGCAGAAGGCCAATGTCGGCTCTAACTCTACGAGCTTGCTGCAGGCAGGTGGTAAGTTACTCTCAGCAAGAGCATCCCGTAACACAGAATCCTAACAACCGTTTCTTCCAGCATTCTTCTCCTGCTTCTTCATCTGGCCCTTCACCGCAAAGTATGGCCGAAGATGGTCCATCATCCTCGCCTCGACAATCTTCTGCATCGGCGCCGTGGTCCAAACAATCAACACCCACTCCCTGGCGGCGTTCTACGTAGCTCGAGTCATCAGCGGTGTGGGCGTCGGCATGGCCACCGTTGTCATTCCCATGTACTCGGCCGAGATGGCGCCCAAGAACATTCGAGGCATGCTCGGTAGCATGTTCCAGTTCTTCTTCACAATGGGCGTCATGACAAGTTACTGGATCGACTATGGGGTTAGCAAGCACCTCAAACCTTCGACGAAGCAATGGCAAATTCCCGTCGGACTCCAACTTGTCCCTGGTGCGATTCTGGGCCTGGGCATGTTGCTGTGCAAGGAGAGTGCGAGATGGTTGGCCAAGACTGGCAGGAGGGATGAAGCTCTGCAATCCCTTATGTGGGTTCGTGGTGGCGAGAACACGCCCGAGGTTCAGCAAGAGTTCGCTGAGATCATCGCCACCATCGAGGAGGAGGAAAGCCAGAAGGAGGGTTTGACATGGAGGGAGCTGGTTCAGCCCACCAACCGTTACCGTATTCTCCTGATTGTTGCTCTACAGATTGGTACGTAAACCACGAGTTCGAGCTGTGCGTATTCCTCGTGGCTAACTTTACCAGGTGTCCAGCTCACCGGCAATACCTCCTTGGCCTACTGTAAGTCATTCTCAGCTGAAATCTTTTCTTGAGGAGGTTCTTTGATGCTGACTGGGTTTTAGATGCACCTCAAGTCTTTGCCGCAGTCGGCGCCGGCCAAGACAACCTCCTGATCACCGGCTTCTTCGGCGTCGTAAAAGTAGTTTCATGTCTCTTTTACCTGCTCTTCCTCGTCGAGCGCATGGGTCGTCGAGGCTCACTCCTGGCTGGGGCTTTCCTCATGGGAGCTTACATGCTCATCATCGCATGTCTGACAGCCACCAACCCACCAAAGTCGGTTGACCAGGGTCTCACCTCCACCGCAATCGCGTCCATGACGATGATCTATCTAGAAGCTATGTCTTACAACATTTCGTGGGGCCCAGCGCCTTGGGTAAGTCTCAATACTCTCAATCCGAGAAGAGGAAGTACTAACCGACCAACTTCAGGTTTACATGGGCGAGATATTCCCATCCCGCATCCGCGAAGCAGGCATCGCCATCGGAACATCCACGCAATGGCTGTTCAACTTCGTCTTCTCGCAAGCCACGCCACATGCCGTCCAGAACCTCGGCTGGAAGACCTTCCTCATGTTCTGCATTTTCAACTGGGCTCTGGTCGTCTTTGTCTGGTTCTTTATCAAGGAGACCAAGGGCAAGTCTCTCGAGGAGATGGAAGCCTGTAAGTTTCAGTCACCTATGCGGCCGGTCAAAGCGTCTTTTTGAGTTCCGAACACTAACCCATACCTCTAGTGTTTTCTGGAAAGCCTGCTGGAAATGATACCGAAACTTCTCTTCACAAGCAGACCCAGGATCCGGGGGTTCGTCGTCGCATACAGGATCCCGAGAAAGAATGATCAGTATTACCGTAAATAGCTGCAGAGAATTCCTCTTGCTCTTGACATTTCCGACATCACTTCAGGGTTTACTGCGCCATGTTGACGCACCTGATGCGGTTCTGGTGATGCTCATAGCAAAGATAATGTGGACAGAGATTACGGAGAATAGTAAGTGTCAGAAGGCACCTTGCTATATTCAATTTATGCATTCAAGAATCTACTGAAGCGCATTATTTATTCGCTCTTCCAAGGCATCATGATCCAACGCTGCTTTCGTCTTGCCTATCACCATTGGATCTGTTTAGGCTCTGGGAAAACATCTTCTGGGTTTTCCACTTTCTCATACTCCTCCATTGTCAATGATTTTCTCAAGGAGTGTCTCTGCGAGAATTGTTGCAAGGAGCCAGGCCAGGAGTCTTCCACCGGTCGATTTACGACTGATACTCCACGAAACAGCCCTTTCTTTCGTACTTGTTCCACGCAGTCAACATTCCGTCCCTGTGAGATCAACGTTGCCCTCGCAGCATGAAAGAGCCCTGTGCCATTTAAGCGAGCTGCCCGTTTGTGATCATGTTGAGGGCTGACAGTGCTCAGCAGTTGGTATCGTGATCTACCGCTGGCCGCCCTCCATCTGCTGGATGCTTCTTTGCCCCGCTCGGATTCTAGCATGGTGGCCATTCCGGCCTTCCCTTTTAGCTCTTCACGGTGCCGAAGCTTGTTACAGACGTGGAGGTACCACCAGTACAAGTATGGTGCCGTAACCTCGTGATCCAAAGGCGGCTGGCGGCGTGTCATTTTGTAATAACAGTCAAGGTCATCACGTTGATCCTTTAGCTCTTGTCGGAGCTCCTCCATGGGGTCTTTTGGCTGTGAATCGGTGTCGTTATCGCCGCCGTCGTATCCGCCGCCACCTTCGTCGCTCTCGGTCTGTCCCGAGTTTGCGTACTCGACATGCTCAACCATTCCAACTTCTTCGTCCTTGGCGAACTCAACATGCTCCACATGAGCCGCATCTGATGAGCCCTCTCCTGAAGTCATGAATGCTTGCACAACGTTGCCCTGACTGCTTTGAATATTCGTATGCTTTGCTTCTTGGCCGTCCAGCGTTTCTGCATCAGCGATCTGATGGGATTGGATGCTCGTGAAATTCTCTATGGCCTCAAGGCCCCTCAGTGTAGATGCGTCAGATCGTTGGTCTTGACGATCTAATTCGTCTACCGGGCTGAAAGTCTCTGACAGGTCGTCCAGATCCAGCAGAGTCCCGAATTCCTGTGTAGGGGCGTCTGTCATCTCCAAGTCCCCGTCGGCATCGGTATAGTGGTCATTTTTCGATGGATCTATAGGAATGTCGGCAGGATCAGCCACATGTGCATCGAAGTCGTCGCTCGAGTCTGAAGATTCTGACTGCAGTTCCCAGTCGTAGTCGCAGGCGTCAAGGGCCAGCATAGAGGTGAAGTAAACAAGTTCTTCCGCGGGGGCGTTGTCAATGAGGCGATGCAATTGGCGCAGTGCATCAAGCGCAGTATGAAAAGCTAGGAGGGAACTGGCTAGTTGCCTGTTACTCTGAGACATGTTGGAAGGCGTTGGATGTTGTCTGACAACGAGGTTGTGGTAGTGTCGGAGGGACAAGGCGGGCGGCGAGGGTCGATATTGAAATACAGTATAGACAAATTTGCGATCGCGGGTGTAGTGACTCACGCCAAAGATCTTCGAACTTGAATTGATAAGGAAATTGATGAAGAGAAGACAGATGATGGACAAGGACGACGATGCGGGACGTCAAGGGTCGTTTGACGACCACGGCCACGACAGTGGCCATAGATGTCAGTCAGGTGACAAAGGGGACCAGAAGGAATTAGGAAAGATCAAAAGGAAAGATCAAGGCGATTCTTAGAGGAAGATTGAAGTGACAGGAAAGGGCAAAGGGGCGGGTGTGACGGGCATGGGCAATATCAGGGGGGGACGTTGGTCAGGCCTTCCTCATCTCGGATGGCATCCTGGTGGCTTCTTTCCCTTCGGCAGCTCAGAATTAAGATGGAAACACCAACGTTGGATTTAAACGATGCTTTCCATGAGAACGTTGGAAAATTTTCAAGCAGGTGCCGCCGGTGAGCGGTCCCGCTGCTTTTGACGGGATGATGACGTCCAATATATGGAAGACGCTGCAAGCCACCTCGTGGACCCTGAGAGCCCAGCCAAAAGTGGCTTCATCTGCGATAAGCAAGCCAGACGACGTTTCCCGTTAGAAAGATTGACAATTGCCGAGAGTTTGACTTATCAGATCCGACTTTAAGCAGCTAATCGCCCGCCATCTCATGCATCCGGATTCATAGGCCGCCATCGGCCCGCCATCAACAAACCCTCCAATCTTCCTTCCGGTGGGGAGCAAGTTTCTTTTGGATTGGACTCCTTTCCCTTCGTCATATAAATCTCTGTATTCCCTGCTGCTAAGTTTGGATGCGAATGTCGACAGTTGTCGTCGCATGTCATGTCTCCCATGCCATTGTGCGAGCTGGTATCATACCCAGTTGAATCAAGATGGCTTGTGTGCATCCGACATCAGGCAATCGCATCAATTCAATGGGTCGCTTTTCTTTCTCAGAGTACTTCGTGATAGAAGCATTTGATCAAAAGCTTCACGATGATTGTTTGATGCGGTTGTCCATGCAGTCAATAGGTTTGCTTGTATCCAGTCTTGCGACCACCAAGCCCATCTCCAGCAATGGTAGTCCTATATACATACACTGGTGAGTAGTCTAGATTTAATTCACAGATATTCAATACACCTTTGATGGGCAATTTCACTCAGACAACTCTATATAAAAGTGCGAAGTGGGCAAAATCTACACACCCCCAAACTCAAGAGAGTTCATCCCAACCCCTCATGCCAGAACATTCCACTACAGTTAGTAGACAAAACCCTAGTTTCCATAAATTTGCGTAAGGTCTCTGAAAGATCCATCTGCTTAATTAAAACCACCCCATCATCTCAGGTAGCCTTTGGTCGACTGTATGCGAGCCTTTGCATGCCAAGAAGCCGGACGTATCACAAAGCAGCCCTCCAAAGAACAATGCTCCATTTTGAGTTCCTCCTGGGTGTAAGCCAAATGCTTTGTCCTTGAGGATGTCCAATTTCAATCCCTCAAAGCCTTCTATGTCGTTCCTTCTGCTATTGCCCAATCTGCTGCCGGTCAGTTTCATACCTTAGGGTTAGACTCAAGTTCACTGCTCTCATTCCCTCCGAGCTCGACGGAGTCACTCTGCGGATGAGACTCCCGAGCAAGACACAACGACTCAGCTGTTCAGGACATTCCGCTGCCTTCCGGACAGCTCCTTTGCTTCACCAGTCTGTTCTTCTGGCCGCTTAGTCGTCTGCTCAATGGGATCTGCCTACCTGAAGAATTTTATTTTCGCTTCTTGCGATCCTGCCCTCGAAAATATTTTCAACCCACAACCACCACGGTCAAAATCTCGACTGGCTTCACAAAAATCATCAAATCATCGCTCGACCATCAGAAGACGATCTACGCATCGCCAATCGCAAACATGGACGCGAAGAAGTTCAAGCAGCACAAGATTGCTACCGAGAGCCTGATTGCCCAGATCAAGAGCTTCATCGCCGCGGACACCAAGTTCAGAATCTACCATGGCGACACCAACAGCACTCGCCCCAGCACCCGCAAGGCTTCCGAGGTTCTTGACATTAGTTACTTGAACAACGTCATCAAGATCGATGAAGCCAAGAAGATCGCCGTCGTCGAGCCTAACGTCTCGATGGACGCCCTCGTCACCGCCACTCTCAAGCACGGTCTCATTCCCAAGGTTGTCCCTGAGTTCCCCGGCATCACTGTCGGAGGCAGCTTCTCTGGCACCGCTGCCGAGAGTTCCTCGTTCCAGCATGGCTACTTTGACCAGTCCGTGATCTCAGTCGAGATCATCCTCCCCGACGGTCGTCTCATCAAGGCCTCCCGCGAGGAGAACCCCGACCTCTTCAACGGAGCCATTGGAGCTTGCGGTACCCTTGGCGTCTGCACCTTGTTCGAGATTCAGCTCGTTGAGGCTCATCGCTACGTCGAGCTTCGCTACATCCCTGTCCACTCCATCTCGGACGCCACCGAGAAGCTGAAGCTCTACACCGACAACGTCTCGTTCGTCAACTTCGTCGAGGCCATCCTCTTTGGCCCTACCAGTGGTGTCATCATCCTCGGCACTTTCACTGATGATGCCAAGAAGGGCGTTCCCATTGTCCGCTTCAGCCGCGCTCAGGATCCCTGGTTCTACCTTCACGCCCATGAGTCCATTGCCCACGCTCGTCACACCGATTGTGACACCTGCACCTACTCTAAGGCTCGCGACCCCTGCGCCAAGGGCACCGTCGTCGAGCTCGTCCCTGTCAAGGACTACCTCTTCCGCTACGACAGAGGCGCCTTCTGGATGGGAACGTACGGCCAGAAGCCGGCGTTGTTCAACCGCTTCTCGCGCTTCTTCATGAACCCCCTCATGCACACTCGCAACCTGTACCGCACGATGCATCATAGCGGTCGCTCCCAGGCCTTCATCGTCCAGGACTTGGCTATTCCCCAGGAGACCATTGAGAAGTTCCTCAAGTGGGCCGACGACTCCCTTCACGTCTACCCCATGTGGCTCTGCCCCATCAAGGCCAAGACCGAGGCCACCCTCCATCTCGCCAACGGTCTCAACACTGAGACCGTCATCAACGTCGGTCTCTGGGGTCTCAAGACTGCCTCCTGGCCTCTGGACGAGAGCCCCATTGGTGCCGCCGCATTCAAGCGTTTCATCGAGGATAACCGCAACATCGAGAAGAAGGTTCGCCAGCTCGGTGGCCTCAAGTGGCTCTACGCTCATCACTACTACACCGAGGAGGAGTTCTGGGCCATTTACGGCAAGGAGAAGTACGACGACCTCCGCAAGAAGTACGGTGCCGAGGGCCTTCCCAGCATCTGGGACAAGACCAACAATGCCGCCGGCGACTACGTCGAGAAGGCTCCCTTCTGGAAGGCCGTCATGCTCACCATCCTCGGCCGTGACCACTTGCTCAACTAGGTCAGGCGCGTATGACTTCGAATCGATTCATAGAGGTCGTCTTTGATTTGGTTTGATTGACAACGGAGGAACAGGTTTCGGCGTTCACTTGGGAAACGGGAATACGGGACCTTTTGTAAGCAGGACCAGGACATCAGGGTTTGGAAGCTTGGGAGTACCAGGACTCAGATACACAGAATCAATAAACGCAAAGAGGCGTTCATCATATCTCCCATCCCCCGTGACTGCCGGCCATCTCCATATTATTTGCCATCGGGATCGAGCGTTCCCGAACATCGGACGATGTAGGTGTCTGCGCTGCTCCCGCCGGGATTTGAAAACAGCACGTAACACCAGACCCCGGCGCCCCACCACCGGTGATGGTCCCGGAGGGGCGCAGATTTGATCTGCGCCGCCGGGAAGACGGGAGCTAAATTAATTCATCCACCGATCTGGTCTGATCGATCCGGAGAAACGCGGCAGTCGGCGGTGGCTTTACGTCACACCAGTTGTGCCACGACAGGTCGCGGCTTTTGCTCTGCTGGCCGCGTGACTCCGGAGGAAATTCGTTGATTCTCGGAATCATACTTGAGACTTCAGAGCGAATGCTCCTTAGGGAGCAGTCCGAGCTTCATTCCCCAGATTGCCTTTTGATGGTAAAGTAATTGCTGCGTAAAATTTCATGTGCCTCTAGTCACAGCAACGGCGTTCCGCACTTGGTTCCCGGAAAAGATGGATATCGATCACGCCACACCCAGACGGCGTAGAACGGGGCTCGGGCTTGAGGAAACTTGCTCAACTTGACCCAAGAATCTGCTTGAGCATTGATACCGAGCATTTTTATGAGGCGTTCAACGGCGTTTGTACACATTTCGATGCCCATGCTGACAACGCAGGCCATGTTGGACCATAGCGTGACACAGATGGTTTGCCCATGCTTCTCAAAGCCCGGTGACAGACATGAAGACTTTGATTGTCCGACAGACTCTTGACATGGAAACTTAGAGACCATATAAGGACGTTGGATTCTTCTGAAAGTTCGAATCTTCTTTCTGGAGCATCACACTCAAACACATCAATCCAGACTCACAGTCTCACGCAAACAACCATCTTACATCTCGAACTCGTTCGATCAACAATCTTCAACATGCCTATCACCAAGTACAAGGCCGCCGCTGTCACCTCCGAGCCCGGTGTAATACTTCTCCTTCCCCCAGCTTCGACCCGATGCTAACTTGAACAGTGGTTCGACCTCGAGGGTGGTGTTCAGAAGACCATCAACTTCATCAACGAGGCGGGCCAGGCCGGCTGCAAGCTGGTCGCCTTCCCTGAAGTTTGTGAGTCGCATCCCATTGTTCATCAAGCAGCCAGCATGCTAACCCCTCCAGGGATTCCTGGCTACCCCTACTGGATGTGGAAGGTTACCTACATGCAATCCCTTCCCATGCTGAAGAAGTACCGCGAGAACTCCCTCCGCGTCGACTCCGAGGAGATGCGCCGCATCCGCCGCGCCGCCCGCGACAACCAGATCTACGTCTCCATGGGCTTCTCTGAGCTCGACCACGCCACTCTCTACCTCTCGCAGGTCCTCATCTCCCCCGACGGTACCGTCATCAACCACCGCCGCAAGATCAAGCCCACCCACGTCGAGAAGCTCGTCTACGGCGACGGCTCCGGCGACACTTTCCTCTCGGTCTCCGAGACCGGCATCGGCCGCGTCGGCCAGCTCAACTGCTGGGAGAACATGAACCCCTTCCTCAAGTCCCTCAACGTCTCCATGGGCGAGCAGGTCCACGTCGCCGGATGGCCCGTCTACCCCGGCAAGGAGCGCCAGGTCGCCCCCGACCCGGCCACCAACTACGCCGACCCTGCCTCCGACCTCGTCACCCCCGCCTACGCCATCGAGACCGGCACCTGGGTCCTCGCTCCCTTCCAGCGTCTCTCCGTCGAGGGTCTGAAGAAGAACACCCCCGAGGGCGTCGAGCCCGAGACCGATCCCTCCGTCTACAACGGCCATGCCCGCATCTACAAGCCCGATGGCAGCTTGGTCGCCAAGCCCGACAAGGACTTTGACGGTCTGATGTTCGTCGACATCGACCTCAACGAGAACCACCTCACCAAGGTCCTCGCTGACTTTGCCGGCCACTACATGCGCCCCGACCTCATCCGTCTTCTGGTCGACACCCGCCGCAAGGAGCTCGTGACTGAGGCCGATCCCGAGGGTGGCATCGCTTCTTACAGCACCTATCACCGTCTCGGCCTTGACCGTCCCTTGGACTCCAAGCCCGAGCTGCACGAGCAGGACAGCGTGAACAAGCGCGTCAGCAAGGAGCCTTCCGTCAAGCCTGCCAAGAAGCTCTAGAGGCTTGAACAGTAATGCCTCATGTAATATTACCATCTCATCATAGACTTAGTCGCATCTTGTACATAGAAAATCTCATCTCGGGCTTTGGCCTCCTATGCATGAATACTTACCATAGTTCGTGTAATTGTGTGACTCAAGCTTTATTTCATCGGTTAATACGACGAACCAATTTACTATGAATGAATCAGTGATACTCGCTCGCATTTCCGAGTGCTGAGCATTGTACAACCGACAGTCGCCCGTGTCCCTCGGCCGAAATTGTGGTTCGGGCGGGGTTTGAATGAGGGGTCTCGCGGACACTTTGGGCGACAAACTCTCCGGGGTTCAGCTCCGCTGCATAAATGGCCTGACTTTGAACTAGCCTCTTTTTAACCTCATCATTCCAATGAGGATTCACTCAACTAGTTAACAAAATGATCACTTATTTGATCCAGCCATGGCTGTTCATGTCCTTCTCCCTCGTCTATCTCCCCGTAACGGTCGCAAAGCTGGTCGCCTCTGGTGACGTCAAAGCGTTACTGTCTTGGTCCGCCTTCAAAGAAGCATGGTTCGGTAACTTCTGGGTCGTTATGGGCCCCAAGGCCAAAGCCGGCGCAGAACCGATGGTATTCCCACTCCTCGAGGGTCGCGTTCGTGGAGGCAATATCTCTGCTCAGATGTCTGGCAAACCGCTCGAGGGGGTCGTTCTTGAAATCGGCGCCGGCAGTGGCATGTGGATGGATGCGCATGTCAAAGTCCTCAGTGCTGCAAAAGCCCAAAGTCTTCGTGGGCCGACAAAGATCTATGGTGTTGAACCGAACCCCTTATCTGCTGCTTCGCTAAAGCGTCGAGCACAGGAGGCAGGGCTGGAAAAGACGTACGAGGTTGTTCCGGTCGGCATCGAGGACCTGCAGAATGAGACGGCATGGGGAGGCAAGATCGAGCCTGGGAGTGTGGACTGCATCATGACCGTTCAATGTCTCTGCAGCATCCCAGAGCCCGAGGAGAATATACGCTTGCTTTACGGCTATCTCAAGAAGGGAGGGAGGTGGTACGTGTATGAGCACGTGAAGGCTGAGCGCGGCTTGGTGATCCCGCTGTACCAGAGTAAGATGTCGAACCTCTGTGTTGCCGGGCAGTCGCTAACTTTACCAGGATCAGCGCCCACCCCAAGGCAATTAATTAAGTTTAAAGCTTAAACTTAACTTAATTACTATATCATAATACTATACTTAATTAATTACTAATTAATTATAAGTAATTACTAAGTAAAGCTATTTAGACTTACTAAGTAGTAAAATTATACTTTTTTTATACTATTATTTTATATATTATAGTATTTCTAACTTTTCTACTTTTATTACTAGCTTTTATAAGGTCTAAATAAAAGATATAGTACTAAATACTTTTTTATAGTTAAATAACTATAAAAATATTACTAATATACTTAATATTAATTTATTTAAATAAGAATATTCTTCTTTATAAGTAAACTACTAATTAATAAGATTATAGTTAGTTTATTTCTATAAATCTAAATATTTCTTTAATTTATTTAGTTCTTTATTATCCTTATTATTTTTTAAGTATAATAGCTTCTATTTAAACCTATTACTTAAAGTTATCTAGATTATAAAGTTCTAAATATTAGTTTATATTTCTTATATCTTCTTTTTCTTTAGAAGGATATTATTAATTAAAATATCTCTTTAAAGCTAACTTAGTATTAAATATCTAATTTTATTAATAAAAAAATTATTAGTTCTTTTCTATATATTTTATATTAAAACTAAAGTAAAGGAGTAATATAGTAGTATATAGAAATAACTCCTCTATTAAAATATAATACTTATTTAGCTTTTTCTATTTATTATTAATAGAAGTTTTTAAATATTATTAGCTATTATTACTTATCTCTTTTAAGTTAAAGATATTATTAATATACTCTTAATAAGTATAAATAAGTAAAAAGCTTTTATTAAACTATTTTTAAGATAGTTATAATATTTAAATATATAATAAAACTTATTAATATACTAATTAAGTAAATCTTTAAGATATTTCTTATAAGAAAGTTTATAACTCTTTTAATTTAAAATCTTAAGAATTCTTATTATTAATATTATTATAGAAAGTTTTTTAACCTTTAAAATAACTTAAAAGATACTTTATAATAGTAATTATTTCTTAAAGTTTACTATATAAGTTATTTTATCTAAAACTCTATATTTAAAGTATAATTTTCTAAATAAACTTTAAGATTATTATAATTTCTATTAATTATAATTAGTTATTAAAAGTTAAAATATCTTAAGTTAATATAAGATTTTTAATATTTTAAAAAAAGTAAAAGTTATTTACTTTATTTTTAAAGTAAATTATATATTTAATTATAAAGTATATAGAGTTCTATTTTATAATATTATTTTAGATTAATTTAATTTCTCTAAATATCTACTAAGAGAGAAGAATATTACTAAATTACTTAAATCTCTCTAATATTTTATAAAATAAATTTTTAAACTTTTATATATATTATAATAAAGCTCTTATAAACTTTATAATATTATAAAGTTTACTAATAAAGCTAGTTTTTTATTAATATTTAAAGTTAGTTTTATCTTATTATAGAAGAATATATATATCTAACTATCTCTTAAAACTTTTAAAATTTTTACTAAATAAGAAAGTTTTTAATATAAAGTTAAAGATATACTTAAAATAATAAATCTTTTTAGCTTAAATATCTTATTTCTTTTTTATAAAAAAGTTAAGTTAAGAAATTAGATTTACTATATAAGTATTATTTAAGCTTATATTATTAAAGATTAAAGTTCTTACTTAGTTTATAATACTTTAGTTTTAAATAACCTCTTTAAAAGTATTTATAAAGTTAATATTATTATAAGTTTTAAATTACTTTTTTATAATAATTAAATATACTTAAAAACCTTTTTCTCTAATAATAAAATATATAATAATACTTATAATAGCTTATTAGTTTAAAAAAATCTATAAATTAAAAACTAAATAGATTTTAAAATTAATATATAAAAGTTCTTATTATATAACTTTTTTCTAATACTTCTAAATACTATTAAGTTTAAAAACTATTAATATAGTAAATTATAGTAATATTTCTAGCTTTATATTAATATTAGAAATTATATTTTAAAAAATAAAGTTTTTATAAATAGTAAAAAAAATTTAATATTTATAATAAAGTAAATAGTAGCTTTTTAAATACTTTTTATATAATTTTTTATTAAATTAATAAAATCTAAATATTATTTCTTATATAGAATATTATTAAGTTTTTTAAAACTTTCTAAGCTAATAAGTAATATTTTAATCTCTTTAGTATAGTTTTTTTTTAAATACTTTAAAATAAATAAAGTTATTTTAATATTAAGAATAATCTACTTATTTTTAAGATTATAATAATAATAAACTTAATAATTAGCTTTTAGTTAACTATTTAGCTAATAGAGAATAAAATATTAGCTATAGTTTCTTATTTAGTTTATCCTCTTTTTTATACTTTTTCTCTAAAGTTCTAATTTTTATATATATATTTTATTATTTATTATAACTTTAAAAAGGTTTTTAAATAAAAAATAGTTAAATAAGAGGTAGTTTTTATTTTACTTAAGTTATAATATAATAAATCTAAGTTTTAAAAGTTAATTAAAAATATTTAGAAAAAAAGTAGAGGTTAAATAGAGGATTATTAATATAATAAATATCTAATATAAAATAAATAAAATAGAAGAAAAAATAGTATTAATAATACTTTTACTTTTATAATATATTTAAAAAATACTAATAGATAATAAGAATAGAAAATAATAATAATAAAATAATAAATTTAATATAGATTTCTAGAAGATCTTAAAAAATAAATTTTAAACTTTTTAAGAGAATTACTTAATATTTAAACTAAAATAAAAAGTTAGAGAATATTATATTAAGTTTATTATAATAATATTAATTTAAAAGAAAAAAAAAACTAAATAAATAAAAAAGGGTAATTTATACTTTACTAAAAGGGGTCCTATTAGAAATAGAGAGTAAATAAAAAAAAGTAGAGAAAAATAAGGATATTTAGTAGTAGAATATTTATTTAATTTATATTATAATCCCTATTAAAAAAGTTAAGGTAATTAATTAAGTTTAAAGCTTAAACTTAACTTAATTAACTAGCAATAGCTTTATACTTAATTAATTAATTAATTAAACTTAATAAGTTTACTTGCCTTGCGGGGAGCGCTGACCAGGATTCACAAATATCTTTTAGGAACAAGCGATGGGCTCTTGCCACCTCTGTCGGCGGACGGGACAGACTCTACAACAAGTTGGACCGTGGGCTGAGGTCGATCTGGCGGCACCGGCGGGCGAGTCACCAAACGAAGTCATTCCTCATATTGTAGGAACTTTGACAAAATGAGCCTGGGCGAATGATTGGATTATCTCAGATGGCCTTATGTACAGTAACTAGGTCTGTTTCCAACGCATGCTACTACACATTAGACCTTGCTTCATCCGTAAACCGAGGGCAATAGCTCGTCCCGTAACAATCACATTGCTCAAGGCGAGCAAGGAGTGTCATTCTGGCTGAAGACCAGCTTGTTGTCGTTGCAGCCCTTCACCATGGCCTGGAGAACCTTGAAGTTGTTGTTTCGGATGCAGCAGAACTGTGAGGCTTCATTTTAGCCATCTTCTGGGGTAGCTCATCTCTTGCTTGCTGCAATGCTTGCAAACTATTTTGGCCGAGAGAGAATGGTGGAACGTGTTTGTACTTACACCCTCCGAAGCTAAAACTGCTCCGCCAGCTGCCTTGCAAAAGTTGTTGTTGGCCACAATTTTGCTGCCGGCGTCGGTGCGAGTCTGGCAAAAGTAGGTTCCAAAGTCAGTAGCCTTTCCCGTTATGGCTTGCCTGTTGGAGAAAGAGCTTCAGTATTTTGTTTCTGGAGATAAGGGGGGCGGAAGGCAGATTGCATGGCGAAAATGGCGACTGAGAGACTTACGGCAACGCGGAGACCGCGCCTGAGAAGGCAATGACGGTCGTGACAAAGGTGATAGGGATCTGCATTTTCAAATGATTGCGTAAGAAATAGAATTGAAGTATTTACAGTCGAAATAGTGAACGAGTGTCTAACGGTGAGAGCTTGTACTGGCCAGTGTTCAGCGATCGACGCGAGTGGCAACGATTGACGAAAGAAGATGAACGGATGAACCCCAACCAGCACGAACAACGTGGCTGCTAACCCCAGATTTTAATTGAATCTCCGGGTTGACGGCACGGCTATATATGAGTTAGGCAACTGCCTATTTGAGAGGATGGGACTGCGCGAGTCAACGTCGCTTGCGGTGAAGCTGTATCGAAGCAAGGCCTTGTTACCGGCACGAAACCAAGCACTCGGGCGAAGCCGAAATGATGTGAGAGATAAATGTGACATGTAAAACTCTAACCGGCGTTTGGACGAGTTAAGCTCACAGACGTGGACCCAAATTGTCGGTATTTCGATACGCAAAAGGCGTTTTCTCGACGAAGCCATTGCTCTGGTGCCCCAGTTTCGCGGCCCGCTTCTAGATGCCGATTAAGATTGCTCGACGGGTTCAGGTCATGCGGTTGCTATATTAAGAAATCTAAAACATGATATAGATATTCGCTCCTCTTGTAGAATCTAAGTTCAGTGTTTATCTATACTCAAGCTCGGGCAATCTGCTCATCAGAGATGAAGTGAGACCCTCCAGCGCACCGGAACCCCTGGGCCTGCTTGACCCAGGCATATCCAGCGGGGCATTTCCCCAGTTTCGCCGCCTTCTTGCGCTGCTCCTCTTCTTTCTTCCGGCGCTCTTCTTCCTCGAGGATCTGTTTCAAAATCGCGTCTCTGGCAGCACCAGAGGCTGCCTTCTGGGCCTTGAGCATCGAGCGATACTTACCCTCCTTCTGCTCCTGAGCCTTTTTGTCGCGTTCAAGTTGTTCCCAGACTTCATCACTGACCCCGGCATCTCGTTGTACGCCTCCCGAACCGTTGCTATCACCGGCTGTTGCAGTGTTCTCTGCTGTGGTGTCTTTCTCCTTGGTGCGATCCGAGAGTCTCTGCGGCTGCTGCTGCGTCGCAGTGCCAGTTGAGGTTGGGGCCGGAGGGGCTTGAGGAGGCGGCATAGCCGGAGCTAGAGGCGGACTACTTTGCCGTCCGCCCTTGGTCTTTTTCGCTACTTTGTTGCGGCCGTCTCGCTCCTTGAACATCTTGCCCATCTCGTCTAGAAATATCGTCTCTGTAATGGTGACGCATGTGCCTTGGAGAGCCTTGAGAGCGTAGCTGAAAACGGACTTTGCCAGGCTCTCCACATCGCGGGCGTTGGCCCAGCTGGCCTGGGTGGAAAGCCTTCCAAAGTTCTCAATGACTTCCTTCTTGAACGTCGAGGTCGGCTGCTCCAAACAAGCCAGGAGAACGCTATTCATCGGCTTCTTGCTCTCTGTCCTCTGCTTCTGCTTTTGTAGGAGCTTGACAAGAAGATCGAAGCAATTTTCTGGCGTGAGAGGATGGAAGTCGATGGACTCCGGGAATCTGCTAGACATTCCGGGGTTGATGGATAGCAGCTCATTGATCTCGTCGTCGTAGCCGGCTAGGATGATAACCATGCGGCCCTTGTACTTCTCCTTGGTTACGCAATCGACTATCTCGTCAACAGCTTCCTTGGCAAAGTTGTTGTGGCCTCTTTGATTGAGGCGATATGCCTCATCCACAAAGAGAACCTTTCCAAGGGCCTTGTCAAGAAGCTTCTGCACCTGAGGACCGGTATGTCCAACATATGAGCCAATAAGATCCGTCGCTGAGCAGTCCAATACCTCGGCACTCGCCAAGAAACCCATGTCGTAGAATACTTTGCCCATCTTCCTCGCTGTCGAAGTCTTTCCCGTGCCAGGTGGTCCACGGAAGACGAAGTTGAAGGGCATGCTCTCCTTTGGGTCCATTCCAAGCGCCTTCATGGACCTAACGTCCTCCTGGTACCCTTCGAGCTTCGCCACGATCATCTCGCAGCCGATGGTGCCCTCAAAGAGCTTGGCCACATTGGTGTGCTTGCGCTCAGCACGATCAAAGTTCTCGTCAAAGTCCAGAGCTTCAAGTGTAGAGACCTGGCCTGTCTCGTTTGCTGAAAGCCGGGTTTGATGGCGCGCCTTCGCATCGTTCAGGAGAATGTCCACCTCACCAGCGTTGCCAAAGTTGGGTCGGTTTCGCGCACGCTCAAGCATCTCCATAGCCACCCTCTTTGCCTGATCTGTGGCCTTGAAGCCCTGTTGTTTGATCTTCATGTCGAGAATCTTGCGCAGCTCGTCACTGGTGAAGTCCTCGAACGTGAAGGCGGAATCAATTGGGAACCGTCGGCTGAGACCAGGATTGACGTTTTGGAACATCTTTTCCATCTGATCCTTGTAGCCAAGAAGTAGGACGCACCGATCCTCTCCAGGGACGCTCTGCACTTCGGCGACGATCGTATCGACAACAGCCGTCTTGAACGGGCATGGGGTGCTGCCGTTGGTGCTGAACAGGCCGTAAGCCTCGTCGATGACCAGGACTTTGCCCATTGTGGATGCAAGTATGCCCTTCGTTTGCACTTCTGAGCCTCCTATTACCGCCCCAACAAAGTCCGAAGGATTCTTCACAATCACTGACAACGTTAGCGTCATAATTTAATGCAATACCGTCTCGGCACTTACCTTCACCATTCGACAGCATCCCAATGTCAACCAGAATCTCTCCGTAGAGCTTGGCAATCGTCGTCTTGCCTGTTCCTGGAGATCCGAGAAACACCTTGTTCAAGGTGTACTCGAGAATAGGCTCCTCCTTAAGCTCCCGGCGATAGTTGGTTTGAAGACTGTCAACGAGTGCCTTGACCGACTGCTTGACAGACTTCAGTCCGATAAGACCTTGCAGCTTAGCCCAAGCTTTGCTCGTTGCAAGGGCGTTCGAGGGCTCGGGTCCAACCAGATCTTCCATGGTGAAGAGAAGGTCATCTGAGTGAACCCCCTTCCGCCGCTCTTTGCGGAGTCTGTTCGCCTGGCGGCTCATTATCTTGGCGAGTAAATTCTCGACAGCTCTGGCGTTGCCGAAGCCCTCCTTTCCGCGGCCCAGGCCAAGTCTGCGAGTGGCCACTCGGAGATAAAGATCGCCCTGACACTTCATCCGGCCTCCGTACTTCTTGTTTATCTGTAGGGTCAGAATCTGCAGAAGCTCGGCATCTTCGTAGTCCTCAAACTTCATTTCCAGCGGGAAGCGACTTGGAAATCCAGGGTTGTGCGCGAAGAAGGATTCCATTTGCTTGTTGTAACCAGCCAAGACAAAGACGACCTTCCCAGTGAGATTCTCAACCTCAGCGAGCAGATAATCGAGCACAGCCTTGCCACCAGGGCTGTTCCCGGACGAGAGCTGGTATGCTTCGTCTATGAAGACCACTCCGCCACCGGTGTTGAGGACATCCTCGAGCAACTTCTCGCAGCCTGTGACTCCCATGTTGGCGAGCTTCGAACCTGATGTCTCCTTGAAACAGGAGCCAGCAATAACGCCTACCGATGTCAAGAATTGGCCGTATATGCGGGCGACAGTCGTCTTGCCTGTCAATAATTAGTGGTTGGCTCGATAAGAGACTTGTCAGAAGATTGTGCAGATTCTTACCAGTGCCAGGGTTTCCGAGTAGGGTGCAACCAAACCGCTCCTTTGACAAGGAGATCTGCTGACGAACAGAGACATCAACCTTGGACTTGATAGAAAGGAACTCTTGCTTGACGCTCTCGAGCCCGATCATGCCCATGAGCGTGTCCAAGGGGTCACTTCTAGCACCAAACTGCGATTTCATGTGCTCCCATTCTTCCTGGGCACTCCCCGGCGCAATGGCTGCTTGTGGTGGCGGTGGTCCGCCATTGACCGCGGCATCCGGAGCTATTGGCGCGGCCTTTTGTGCCGCCTTCATGGCCTCCGCACGAGAACGAGTGTCCCTTAGATCCTTGAGATCAGCTTGAGCCTGCTTCAACTTCTTCTTCTGATCGTCGTCCTCCTGCGCATATTGAAGCTTTCGTCTCTCGTGATCGAGCTCGTCCTGGATCACTTGGAGCTCTTTCGCATATCGCTGCTGGGCTAGGAGTCGCTCCTTCTCCATTTCCAGGTTTCGCCGGATCCTCCTGCGGTTGTCCTCGTCTTCCTTGACGCAGGCTGGACAAGCGTCCTCCTTGGCGCTGCAACTGATGGTGTAATCATGGCCTCTGTCGCAAGTTTTCTTGATCCGTTCATGGCAGGTGACTTTCGCGTGGTCCTTGATCCGGTGGCAGCGTAGCTGGCATCTGTGCTTTCCACAAGACAGCAAAGCATTGCTTCAGTCGACATGGTCAGCATCATAGGATTCTTTCAGCGATGCAAGAAGTGCCTTCAACTTACCAACTTTCGTCACAGCCACCATCGGCACATTTCGCGTCGAAGTCACTCGGATCCTTGAGTAAAGCCGTCTTCTCAGGATGCTGTTGACAGCGCACGGGTACACCATCGTACAAGTACCCCTTCTCCTTTAGAATCTCAAAGAACGGCAACCAGACAGGCTTGCCCTGGGCGGATGCCATGAATGTCTCCATGTTGCCGATCATGATCAGGCATTCTCTCGCTCGGGAGCACAAAACGTTCAGGCGTTCAGGCGCCTTCATGAAACCTATGTCGCCATTGTTGTTGCTCCGAGTCATGGATGCTATGACAATGTCGCTCTCTTCGCCTTGGTAGTTGTCTGAAAGAGTTAATACATTTCCTCGTGGGGCAAAGATTGAGCTTACCAATAGTTGACAGCTTGATTTGGCCTGACCCGTCTTTGACCTTTGCAGCAGCAGCAGTCATTAGACCAGCGCGAATGAGCTCGAACGAGTCCAGATCGCTTAGCACAGGGTCAACTTCTTTACTTAACATCTCCCTGAGAAGGGAGACTTGTCCAATGTATGGGGTAAGGACAACGATGTTGCTGGTCTTGTACCCTTGTTGTCCTAGGTACTTCACAAGTTTGAGAACCATGTGAGCTTCGAACCGATTTCTCTTGCTTGCAGACACCTCGCCACCGTGCCGATCGTTGATCCCGTTTGCAAGATCCTCTGGGTGACTATGGTTGATGAAGCACACCCTTCCCTGCAGTCCTTTTGGTTCCGGCCGCAAGAGAGTCTTATCATCGTCCTCCAGTAGCGGGTATGTCATCTGTCGAACGAGATCCGAGATATCGGGGTGCATTCGGTGTTGCTTCTGGAGCGTCGTGTGTTCGTGCTCCTGAAGAATCAGCCTCTCGAAAAGAGAGCGGTTGAGGTCGAACCCCTCCCCCTTCTCCACGCTCAGTGCGTAATTGTTGATCTTTGGACGCAACTGCTTGTGGTCGCCGATCAAGATGACTTGGCTTGTGGATGAGTGTAAGGCGGTCAGCACATGAGCCTCGAGAATCTCGCCAGCTTCTTCGACGAGAACGACATCCGGACGAGCGGCTTTGATGAGCGACTTGTACATCGCTGCGGCTGTGGTGGTGCATCCGACAAGTCGCTTCCCCTGAACAAAGTTGCACTTAGATTCGTTGAATAGGGTGTCCACCTCTCGCTGGGCATCGTCAAATTGACGCACCAGATGCTGGATCGTTTCGATTTGTTCGCCGCGCAGGCTCTCAATCCAGGTGTCCATGTGCTTCCGTCTTTGGTCCTCCGGAATCTGCCAAATCCGTCTGCTCTCGGGTGAGATGAGAGGGGTGAGTTCGCCGGGATTCAGCCCCCGCGCCCATCGGTCAAGCAAGTAGTCGGGTGACATAGCCTTCTGAGGCTGACGAGAATTGCCCGCAAGCTGGAAGCCATCGTCCTGCTCAGGCAACGTGAAAGCATCGTAAAAGTCCTCGGCGTCCTCTTCAAACTCGAGGTAGTTCAGAACCTCCAGAAGACTGATCTTTCCCCGCACAAGACTTCCACACGCCTTGTCAATCTCGGCCCTCGCATTCGACATGTTCTCTTTCGCATGACTTATCTTATCCCATGGTAGTCTACCCCAACCAGCGCGGTTTCGTACTTGCCGCTCGAGGAGAAGCTTTTCAGTTGCCTCCGTGAACTTGGATCCTAGGCGAACCATGGTATCAGGCGAGATGCCAATGTTCATCAGGTCTTCGAGGAATTGATCCAGGGCATGGTTGGTGTAACTCAAAACCAGAATGCGCTTTTTGGGGTCCTTCAGCAGGATTTTCGCTGCGAGCGCTCCCACAAACGACTTGCCGGTACCTAGGTTCGTAATCAGTTAATGTCATAATGCAAGGTGCTTGGTTGTGACAACTTACCGGGAGGTCCTTGAACCAGAGCTAACGGGCTCTGAAGCGCGCTCAGCACAGATCGGATTTGGGACTTGTCAAGTTGAAACTGCTGACTGCCCATGCTGAATGTCGAAGAGGCGCCCTTGAGGATTTGCTTGAATTGACTGATGTAATTCTCGATATGAACAGATTGGTCCAATGTGGTGGGCGAGGCATCAGGGCCGTTGTGTTTGAGACAAAGAAGCTCTCTTTCGAGAGGCATCTCGGTGATCTCTTGTAGTCGCTCCAGCACCGGTTGGTACGCGAAGATCGGGGTATCGACCAAGACGAATCGGAGATCGGCAGGAGACTGTAAAGCAAGCAGAGCTCTGGCAAGGGCATCACTGTCGGTGAATTGCAACGTGATCACAGGAGGCTCTACTGCCAGTTGCTCATTGTCCCGGATCAATGAAGCGAATGCAATGATCTTACTGTTGCTGCACAGGGCTCCGAAAGACTGGTGGCGTAGAAAGCCTTTATGATCCCTCAAGAACCTCGTCCGCTGAGGACCATCCAGCTTGGACAGAACCTCCAGTCCCACCTGACAACTGAGAAGGACAGCACAAAAGCGGCCTCGCTTCTCGTCGCCGGTGTCAATGCCAATAGGAGTCAAGCCGGCAAGGATCTGCGGCATTCCTCTTCTGCCTTTCTTCTTTCCGAGGGCGACGGTCAAGTCCTCGCGCAGCTCGCCAAGCATGTCTTCGCGCAAGAGGCGGAACTGATTGTCGAGGTGCGCTCGAGGCCGGTCGGAAGGGTCGATTGCCGTGACTTCGGCCGCCCGTCGGTAGAAGGGAGGGGCACTCGAGTGAAACTCATCGCTCGTGGGGAAGATGGAGACATCTCGGAAATCAGCGAAGTCGTTATCATGGCGGCCCCCGGCTCCATCGACATCCCTATCAGGGGAAGGTGAAGATCGAAGCGCTAGGACCTTTTTCGTTCTATACATGAGCTCTCGGGTTCTCTGATCTTGGGCCTGCTGGAACGGCTTTTGATCAATGGCAGACGAAATGTCATTGATGAGATCGTCATGCTCTTTTCCGGGTACGCTGGCAAGCTCGAGACAAAGCCAAGCAAATACGAAGAGATCATTCTCATCAAGCCGAGACTCCTGATACAGAATCATCAGGCTGTTCCACAGCGTGGGTGGTTGGGCAATGAGGAGAAGGATTTGGTGCAAAAGCTCGCCATTGTACACCATCTTCACGCCGGGATCGCTCAGATATTCAATGAAAGGTAGTACGTGGGATCGAATAGAGGAAACAGACAAGTCGAGTCGAAGACTGTAGCGAAGGGCGTCCTTAGCAGCGGTGCTGGCGGTAACGGTCTCCAAACACTGGACCGGTGAGGGGTTCGAGCGGACGGCCTCGAGGAAAAGGCGTGCATTAGCAGCCGTCGTAATGGATCGCCCACCCTTGGTGACATCTCTGAAGACTTTCAGAAGACGGGCGGTGCGTTGAGGATCTCCTTGTATGGAACCCATTGTATGTGAAGCCAGCAGTGGTTGAGGGAGTGTGGATGGGATCCAGACACGATCAAGACAGTGAAAGGCAAAGATTGAAGACACTATGAAGGCGTCGCGAACAATCGCTCTTCAATACTGCAACAAGAAGACAGTTTGGCTGTAGAAGAATGGGAGAAGTAATGTTGGAAACAGACGACAGGTAGGCATACCAGGAGCAGCGAATACTTATCACATGCTGATAACACCTCCAAGGCAGACAAGGTTAGGCTTTGACGTCCAACAGCTTTGTTGGGGCAATTGAATTGAGAAAGTAGAAAAAGCAGCGGCGAAATGTTGTCCAAAGCCAATCCAAACCGCTGTTGGCCGTTCGATTGGGCCGTGGTTTGGGTCGTGGTCGGCCTCCAGCATGGGAGGCTGTGAGTGGCTCATCGACGTGAGGCAAACCGCAGGGCGAGCGGCACTGCTTTTTAAACCATTCATGTAGACGCGCCCTCTCCAGCATGATTCCGAACCCGTTGCAACAGCTCTCTAGAGCCTTTGTTCGGAAAATCAGATCAACGACTCAACAACATGTTTCGTCGCAACAACAACTGGCAGCGGCCTAATTTGGCACTGGATGCCGCAGCACCCCCCTTTGGGCCCCCGATAGAGTCGATCGCCATCGCCGACTTGGCGAAGTCGGCATCCAAGTACTCGTCTTCTGCTACAGTAACTGACTGTGAGGTCCTTGCATCATACAATTGGTTGGACAGAGCGCAGCCGACAATGAAGGTCCCAGGTGCGTATCCGTCCCGGCATCTTGCTTGCTGCTCGTGTTAATTGAAAAGGCGCACCACCGAGATGGACGCCGCTGAGCGCACCTCGTCAATTGTATGAAGACAGCGGCGTCTACTATCGCGACAAAAACGCGGCGAGATATGCTTCGCATCCAATGGAGCCCGCCATCAGAGCCATCTTGACGATGCAGCCGGAGGCACCCAGCAAGCAAGTCGACATCGTCGCTTGTGGAAGCACACTGGGCAATCTTCTTCGATTTGTGAGACGCGACGAGCGGCCCTTCCGTATGTTGGTAGAAGTCGTCGGCAACACGGTGCACCTGATCCGCAGAGAAAATTCGCCCACGGCAACGATCCCAGACGTTCGAGGCTACGGCCACACGTTTCCAGAGGCCTACACCACATGGGATGCAGATGTCCGCGGCTCAGCTTCTCACCAGCGGATTCTCAGATACGACTTTGGCGGACTCGGCTGCATCGTCCGGCACGAGGGTGACGGCTATCTGAAGGACCGACTGGGTTCGACGGCGCAACCCAAGCGTGAGCGCGGAGCTGCAGATCCCGTCAAAGATCTCGTCGCCAGCCTAGCGGACAACAACATGACATCGAAGACACCCGCGACTTCTTCTCAGTTGCAAATGCTGTCGGGGGGCTTCAAGGTTCCGCAATCAGCAGTCTTCGATCTCAAGACACGATCGAGCATTCGTCGAGGCCGCGACTTCCTCGGCGAAGAGCTTCCTCGCATGTGGGTGGCGCAGATACCGAACTTCGTCCTGGCATATCATAACCGAGGTGTCTTCAACGACATTGAAGTCATCGACGTGTCTTCCAAGCTCAAGGATTGGGAGAGGGAGCAGAACAATGAACTCTCACAGCTAGCAGCACTTCTGCACCGCATCGTCGATGTTGCCCAACCGAATCACAGGCTGGAGATTGCTCACCGTGTGCCAGGGAAGCTGGAAGTGTTGAAGCAGACTCCCGGTTTGCCCGCTTTGTGTTCGGGAGGCGTGCTGTTCAAGTGGATTCGCTGGTTGGGTACCGCTGGCACCGTCATGTTCAGTAGCGACGGTGAGTATGACTCTGACGTGGGCGGGGGCGACCTTGGTTGGAGCGATAGCGACAAAGATGACCGGGATTTCACTGCTTGTTCGCAGGAATGTTCGTATTGCGGCCGATGTACTTACTGAGACTGGCCAAGTTCATCACGTCGTGGAGGGATGGCGAAAGTTGGCGGGAGTTCGAGAACATGGCTTCGTATTCTTTTCCTTACTAGCTTCATCAGTGAACTATACAAACTATACAAACTTTCGAACCGGAGGCAACTTCATCATCGTCTCTCAAGATCAAGTGAACCGTTGACGCGTCTCGTGACTGAGCGTCGCGTCCACATACATTGCAGTGTGAAGGACCAAGACACCTGTGCCCCACAGAATTGAGGGTGAGGCGGCGTCACGTGCCAGGGTTTGGGTGAGATAGATCCGTGCACTGGACCTCGGTGAGCTCCCTTCGGTGAGGGTGGTCTTCACCGAGATCATCACGAAGGACATTATCTCGTTGCTGTAAGAGAAAGGCACGTCTTCTAATCAATAAAAGCTTTATCGTGCCTAAATCTTCCCTTTCATTAAGTACTCCATACAAAATATGAGGTTGTTCTCTTCAACTACAATTGCTGAGGACTCACCATATTAACACCAACCCTTACCGGCGGTGATAATTGCCAGCACCCAACGAAGCTACCTACCCCAGGTGCCCCAACCATTTATGTAAAAAAAACTTCCATCTACTTGAACTAAGTTCCGCACAAGAGCACGTGAGCTCTCGAACTGATGTGACGTTGGCCGTGCGCCGGGCTTCCGGAGAGGATCCCAGAGATTGACTTCAACTCTATGGAGTGTCTAGATGGGTCTGTGAATATTTAAAGTATTCAAGACTGATCTTGAGGGCTATGAGAGCTGGTTTATGGGGACTTTGGCCGTTCAACGGCCATTGCCTGAGTGCTGTGGATTTATTTCTTCTTTTTTATCAAGATTCAATTTGCAGTTGTACAATTAGATGAAGAGAAACATATTTGATTATGATAGTAGCCGAACACTTCATGTGATGATCCAATTATGCCAGAAGGATGAACATCTCCCTTATTTAGCACCAATAAACCTCCAAGAACTCCATGTCACACCCGGTTTGACGAGAACTCATGTAGTCGCGATGTCACTGGGGGTAGCCATGGAGGCGAAGAGTCATACTACCAGACCGCGCTTCGTGCCCGCCCCGGCTTGTGCATATTCCACACTTAAGCTCATCGTAGAAACTGACATTACTCGATATAAATCGAAATTAATTGATACGAAGGCCCAGCTAGGCTTTTGAGTTCACGAGGCTTGCGTGGGCCGCTCAATAAACCGAACTTGCCAAGGTCTAAGCGGCTTCCTGTCCGAGGACCAGACGCGACATATTTACACTTGATTGTCTCCACATGCATCAAAGACCCAATTTCTAAAGTGTGCCTTACCAAATGATTCTAAATGCACCTGTTGGCCCGTGGCTGAGCTGAGCTGGCCGGATCGGAGGCCGGGGCAGTGACGGGAGGCCCATCGCGACTTCCGGCGTCAAAAAAACATCAACCGAGGTGGGTCCTTCTGTTCTTCCTTTTCCTGGATGCGCGCCTCGCCGCATTGCGCCTTCCCACGACGCTGCCAAGAACCTTGCATGAGAATAATTGGGAAACAGAAAGGGCAGACGACAGGCAGGCACACCTTCCTCACTCAATTGAGGCGACTGTCGACGGAACGGGTAAGAGCAAACGGTCGAGACGCGACAGCCCATTTGAGACAAACGCAGGCGCACGCAGGAACCCACCTGCCGTCGTCCACCGCTACACCTACCTCACCTCACCTCACTTCACCTTTTCGCGACTTCCTTCACATCGTGGCAAACCTTCGCTGCCTACCACCTCGGCAACTTGCATCTTTCCGCCGGCATCTTGAAAAACAACCCTCTTTTCGCAATTCACAAACTCCGACTTCATATTCAAAGACCTCACGCCTTCACTACATATCTTCTGCCTACCTTGCGCGCACTCATCCAGACTCAGACCACTGCCATACCTCAAAATGTCCTTCTTCGTACCTCAGGTGTCGACTCGAGTCACTGCTCAGGCTCCTGCCCGGAATCCCTACGGCCCTCCCTCGGCAGCCATCGAACCAAACCCGGAGTACGTCCAGCAGCTGCGATCTATGACGCACCACAAAGACCTTCTTGTCAAAAGTGGTTTCATCATAGCTCAGCTGTCTCTGTCAGACGTCGAGGGCAAGAAGCGCTGCCGACGATGTAATGCACGTTGTGAGTCACCTCTGCCCTAACGTTTCGTCGGTAGCTGACCTTTTCCAGGTAACAAGGGGGGAAACAAGTACAAGGGGGACGCCCAAGATGGAAAGAAGGGGAATAGAAATCCTCGTCAGCATAGCTCAGCGTACAAGCCCAAGCCAAAGCCCAGGTCCATTCCCATCGTCGACTTGGACGACATCCAGGGCGACGCCAAGAAGGACGGGGACGACAGGGACGACGGCAAGGACGACAAGGACAAGAAGAAACCCATTCTGAAGTGCCGATATCACACTGGCCGCGTTTTCAACATGGTAATTCCCCAGTTCCGCCTGCACTTTGCTCCCTAAACTAACCGCAAAGCACTGGAATTGCTGCCGGACCTTCGCCTCCACCCCCGGCTGCACCTTTGCTCCGGAGCATCTCACGAGGACTTATACCCAAAAAGAGCTCTTCGATCGTCACCAATACCATAGGACACCCCCGTCGACCCTTGTCGACCTCAACCCGGATCCACTCATCTCACTCTCTTTGACAGACGCCTACACGCCCTCGGGCCCCCGCCAGTCGCGCCGTGCTGTAGCCATAGACTGCGAGATGGGCGTCGCATTTGATGGAGAATCCGAGCTCATTCGATTGACCCTCGTCGACTACTTCACCGCCGAGATTCTACTGGACAGCCTTGTTTTCCCTGCGGTTGGCATGGCGCACTTCAACACTCGCTACTCTGGCGTTTCCCGCCAGGCCATGGACGAGGCCCGGCGGAAGGGCAAGTGTATCACTGGAGGCGTGGCCGCGGCGCGGCAAGAGATATGGCGTTGGGTCGGCCCTGAGACGATCGTCGTCGGACACGGCGTGAACAACGATCTTACCTCGCTGCGCTGGATTCATCCCCTCGTCGTCGACTCGATGCTGCTCGCTACGGCAGCCAAGGCCGAGAAGGAGAAGCGAGAGGAGGAGGAGGAAGAGGAGAGAAAAAAGGCCCTGGCTCTCGAGGAAGCTAAGAGCATCCAAGAGACTCAGGTACCTGACGAAGATCTCATCTCTTTTGACTCAGAGAATGAGAACTCAAAAGGCAAGCAGAAGAGCAAGGAGGACAAGGCGAAAAAGCAAAAGGGCAGCGGCCTTTCGCTCAAGAACCTCACCCATGACCTTCTGGATCGGCAAATCCAGGTCGGCAAGATGGGCCACGACAGCCTGGAGGATGCCCTGGCGGCCCGAGACCTGGTGCACTGGTTCGTGACGCAGAAGTGCGAGGAACTGAAGGCCCAGAATCAGAACCCAGCCATCATGGGCTTTTGGTAGGCGACGCGTTGGGAGCGCCGATTTCAACATCTGTTACTATAGACAATTACTTCACACGGTTGAAGGTCAGCGAGACGATAGCGCATTCGGATGGAGAAAACGTCTCCAATGGGTATGGTCGTATGTAGTCAGTCAATCACTGGCAGCGGGGACAGCATTGGGAGTTATGTAGATGATAGAATACCCCTAAATAAAAGGCCTACAAGCAGACTTGCGGTCTGAACCACCCTACTACATTCTCTATGATCATAACCTCGGGCTGTCATACCATGATGTCGCCGAAAATCGTTCCTGGACCAAAGTAACGTATTCATTGTTATTCGTCAATATTTGATTTCGCCCCCATCGCCATACTTCTGCTCCTCGTCACTCCCTTGTGATACCAAACTGGGAAGGCTGGAAGCGCTAGAAAACAAAACCAAGGCCCAATGTCTAACCCCCTACCACCGCCTCCGTGTGACTGATACCACCGAGGGTAAAAAATGCGCATGATGAAAATTTGTGTAAGAGAACCGAAAGAACCAAGGGGGGTTAACCCTGAAGGAAGACACCAGTCAACGCCTCGGGGAGAGATGTAGCCCCAAACCTCTCTCCTCCAAGAAATGCCAAAAAAGTGCTACAAGGACCAAAATAAAAGCCCAACCAAGGGTCAAAAGGCTAATCGACACGTCCCTTGTGCCAGTCTAGTGGTGTGTTCCGTGTTTTCCGCGCGCTCCTGGGTATAATTGCCGTTGCGTATCTCATGCCGTACATGTCAAAACCTCTGCCCTGCGACCTCGAGCTGGCTTCGTCCAAGTCCATATTCGTCGATGACGCTTTAAGAATGCTGCACCGCGCTCGGTGTGGTTGGTTCCGCCAAGTCTGAGTCCGCAGGCCCAAGCATTGACGCTTCCATTGAAATGACACTCGCCGGACGGCTGCGATGCGATGCGGGGCTCAACATCGACGCCTCCATTGACGCAGTGCTGGCTCCGAGCGGCGCCGGCCGTCTGTTGGTGTACGCGGGGAAACCTAGGTTTGTTCCCTGGGGCGAGACAGCAGTGGCGGTTGACAAGCTGAGTCCTGCCGTCGCTGTTGGAGACGTCGGCGAGTAGTGACTAGATACGACCAACGGTGGTGGATGATTCGCGGGACCCGCTGTCGTCGGCGAACGAGCCGACTGGGGGAAGCTAGGACTTGTAGGGCTGAACAACAACGGGGCCTGGCCAAGTGGTTGAGCAAACATTGGCACTGCTCCAGTTGGGGGCACATGGGTTGGCGGGGGCGGCGGAGCCTGGCCATCCTGTTGTGCGTCACCGTTGACGAGATTCTGTGCAAGCAGTGGCTGTCCATCAACAGCCATTTCGCTACCGTCGAGACCCTCGAACTCGTCGTCTTCCGCGGCCTCGCCATCATCTCCTTCGGCGTCACCGTTCACCGTTCCTGCATTTGCAGCAGTGGAAGCATGGGCACCGATGTTACGGCGGACCAAGAAGCCGCCGGAGAATCGCGGGCCAGGAGAATCGCGCAAGCCCTCGTACTCTGCCGAGGTGTTGAGGTATTCACGCAACTTTTGCACGCC